CTATCTATCTGCAATTTCGCTGGCTTTCTTTGCCAGGCTGATATACTAGTAAAAAGAGGGTGCCTTGAACAAACTAGGGTTGCCAGGAAAATTCGCGATCCTACTAGAAACTTCAGCGCACATGCTTCCAGCATCGCGTGACTTCTGCTGTTGTAACAATATGTTAAGTTTGTGAACATAGCTCTTGTGTAATTTTTGCATATCTTTGTCCATTTGAATAACCTTATTTACAATTTCAGGGAAGTCTTTTACTTTAATTGTGATGAATTATGAGTTTCTTGAGCTATTTTGATGGCAACATGCTCAGTAATTGTTTTCTATCTCTGGTATATAACTAGTTGTACAATAGCCTGTTTTATTGTTTTGTGGAATTGTCTTTCTATGCTATACTGGTAGGCTCAATATTAGAATGTGTTATCCCTTTTTCAGAATGCTAGAAGTTCATGCATTTATAATAATAGAATGGGAAACTATGTTTCAGAAAGCTCTGTAATGCAACCCTCCCTGATGATTGCAAGTTTTGTTGCTGTATGTATTTGCAAATCATCACATTTGATTGAATTACAACAAGAAAGTCAAGGCTTTTAATCTATGTAGCCATAAGAGGTTCAGTGATTAAATATATAGAGTTTTACTATAAATTGTGAACCAACTTATATATATTGTTACGTCTCCGTTCGTTAGTTGATTTTCCGTAACTTCGTTCCCACGAAACTTTAGCGACACAAGTCCTTTCTTAATAAAACTGGTTTATTCTTTCCGAATACAACTTTACGATACACTTAATTTCAACAGTCATAACAAACGCTATATCTCATGTGGCCAACAATATTTTCTCTGACTGCAGTTCAATTACTCGATACTACCTACACATTGTCCCATCACGTTGTCACCATCTTATATATAAAAGACTACCCTATATCTAGTAATCTCCCAACAATTCCCGAAGGTTCGAGAGAAGGAGTGGCGTGATACTAGTCACGTGACCTCGCTGACGCAATAATATTATCCATAATTTTTATTAAGAAAGTTGTGCATTTGTTTTGGTTTTTATTTTGATGTCAAGTAATTCATTTAATGTTACACATGTGGGAAACAAGTGAGTGTACAGACAGGCTCTAAGAAATAAAGATTCTTTTCTTTTACGTTGCAATGCTGTATCACTCACTTTTAACTAGATATATTCAAAGATCACGTTATATAATTTAAAGGAATTTTTGTTAATGTATTCCACATATGTTAACAGTTTTCTATATGAACTAGATCCACTTTTGGCCACTGTGGCATATGTGTTCTACTTACACAAAGACTTTTGATATAAAAAGCTACATACAGTGGTTTAACAGTTAATAATAATGATCTCACTCTTGTTAGTAAATTTATCATCCAGTCTTTTCAAGAACTACATATTTAAAAAGTTATTACTGTAGATATAGGTTGAAGATAAAGAGATTCTAAATAAAACTAACTATTGCTAGCTTATGTTTTATGTGATATGAGTTGTACACATATACAAAAATTGGTAGTACAAGATTTATTTATTGATGAAGAACATATAAAACACTTGCAATAGTGATAATGATGATGTATGATATGTGGGCATATCGTGTTTTCTATCTTCACTAGTAGTATAGAAATATTCAAACTTTTTAATTACCTAGTTCTGCACCATCATGGTGCACATATGGTCCAGAAAGTCATTATTTTGCTCTAGTTACTGCATTCTCTGTTCTCTTCTAGCAGGTAAAATCTATTCCTGCAAGGATATATCAGTTTTCTATGGAGCACCTAGGTTGAATATGTTGGCACTGGAATATCCTTTGCTGGACAGTTATGATACTGACTGATTCTGTTAGGGAACAGAGGTCATGAGGTGATGCTGTCCATTGGACAAAGAAAGCAAGTTTACATTTTAGATTTGATTGTGCATTCTTAATTCAGTTCTCCATTAGACAGTCTACAGAGATGATCTGCTTACTCTTGGATCAACATGTTTGCATCTGCTGCAGCTGTACTTGTGAGAAAGAAGGCATACTATGTTTTCTATTCATTTGTGAAAATAAAGATGTTGCACATTTATTCAAAACTTTTCCAGACTTACTAATTTTCACAAAAGGGAAGACTCAGTCAATAATTTCTTATAAAAATCCTCATAAAGTCTTGGGTGAACTCTGCCATTACTGCAGATTTGCATATCTAATGTTTGTTGGGAAGCTGGTTTCACCCATGGGAAGAAAACATAGCAAGATAGTTAGAAGCTGAAGTTTAATTTCCTTTTAATACATGTAAGGAATTAAGTTGGCTTTATTTCTTCCATAAGATGCAGGAGTTTGTTGATACATAATCATTACACACACTAACTTATATTGTTAACAATTACACATTTCCTGCTTACATTTTATTATGTAAGTCAACATATATATGTGATATTTGATCAGATGATTAAAATTCATTGTGTAAAAACAACATAACATATAATATAACATAATGTTTTGGGACAAGATGGGACTTATTGGTCCATCTTGGCTGTTCCATCCTCTAAACTAAATTAAAATAATTAGAAAAAAATCTGAAAGCCATTACTCATCATTT